TTATTATTTTTTTTATATTAATATTTATATTTGGATAAGAACTTAGTAATTTGACTCTAAGTTATATTTACCATCATTTAAAAAAAAATTGTCTTTGGCCTGATCTGGCTTGACCATAGGTCTGATTAATTTGTTTATTGAACTGTCAAATCTCAAGTGGTTAAAATAGTTTGTAAATAATATGAAAACATTTATTTTTTGTTCTTTGGCGCGCTTGTACAAAGTTACATCGTCCGTCTAGTTTTCATAGTGATGTGTTTGATAGTATTCGGTCCGAATTCATTGGAATAGATATGATATTTATTTTATTTGGATATTTTTATTTTACTTATTCCATCGAGCAACTAGACTATAATGCTACCATTTTTTTGCGTCTCCTAATTGCACTGTGTTGCCAGTATCTCTATGATTTTTAAGATTTATGTGTGATCCAAAGACAGAAATACTGTTTTCTATGATTTAAAAATAAATACAATTAAAATGATTACGTATAATTTTTAACATTCATAATATATAAAACAACATTTAATAAATATAATTTTCTCCCTCAATTAAGCAATGTTATAGGTGTATTTTTTTAAGTAATTGGCGATACTATTCTGGCAACACCCTTACCACCGCTATTTTAATCTGTTTAGTCGTCTTCCGTACTCTCGTGCGCACAGACTACGTTCTCTTGTGTAACCGTTGTTTTTTGACGGCTTTCTCCTGTTTATCGTTGCGCTTTATTGGACTAATTTTGTTTGTGTTTGGTAATTTTGTTGAAAATGCCGAAACGAGGAAAAACATTGAATAGTCAATGTCGTGAGCTTGTACTAAAGCTACAGGATTACTTTGAGCGTGAGTCACAAAATGGCGGCCCTTTGATTCCTGTCACTCAAGTGAAAGATCGGGTTTCACAAGCTCTTGGAATTGGTGCAAAAACACTATATAATATATATAAAGAAAAATTTGGTGCTTCTGGAAGTGAAGATAATGTTTTACGCACTCCTAAGAAAAAACGAAGACAAAAGCCCGTGACAGGTGTTGATGTTTTTGATGCAGATGCAATAAGAAACCACATATATGGTTATTATACTAGGAACGAGTTTCCAACTAGACGTTTGCTTTTGGTCTCTTTAAAAGAAGCTGACTTGTTTAAAGGCGGTAAAACGGCGTTGTCAAAACTATTGCACGAAATTGGGTTTGAATATAAAAAAAACGAATAAAAGGAAAATATTAATGGAAAGATTTGATGTAATAATTAAAAGGAGCGAGTTTTTAAGAGAAGCCAGAAAAATCGAGTCTTGGGACAACGTCGTTTTTGTTGACGAAACATGGTTAAATGCGAACCACACTGTGTCACGCTCTTGGACTGACGAAACAAAAGCATCAACCTCAAAGGTTCCAATTGGAAAAGGATCGCGACTGATAATTTGTCACGCCGGTTCTGCTGGAAGTGGTTTCTTTGAAAATGGACTGCTGGCTTTCGCGTCAAAAAGTACTTCCGATTACCACGAGGAGATGGATACAGACACTTTTACGAATTGGGTCCAAAATCAATTATTACCCAGCCTGCCAGAGCCTTCTATCATAATAATGGACAACGCTTCATATCACTCGAAACAAGTGAATAAAGCGCCTACTCAGGCCGACAAGAAAGCTGATCTCGTAGCATGGCTACACCAAAATGGAATTGAAACTACTGCCGAAATGCTAAAGTCTGACTTAGTAAAGTTGGTACGCGAAAATAAAACATCAAGAGTCCGTTATGAAGTAGATGAGATAGCTCTAGCACATGGACATCGGGTACTTCGAATTCCGCCTTATCACTGCCAGTACAATGCCATTGAGCTAATATGGACACAAATCAAAGGTATTGTTTTTTATCGCATAAGTTATGAATATGAATAATTTGTACTATTATAACATCCAATATTCAGCATATAAGTAAAAAGATACATAACTAAGAAATAAATATCTCATGTCCCTTACATGTAGGTAATTGTGTAACATTTCGTTTATTTAATGTAATAAATTAACGTTATTTAATGTTTACATTACAGGTTACGCAGCTCGTAATAATACGACTCCGCCATTCAGTACTAATAAAATGATGGGTCTATTAAAAGATGCTTGCAGCAAAATAACGAAAGAAGATTGGGTCAAGGTCGTCGAAAAGACTCGAAAACTAATAACAGAAGATTATGAACGCGATATAAGAGTGGACACCATTATAGAGAATGAAATTGTCATACAAGTGACTGATAGCGATGACAGCTCTGGCGAATCTGATTCAGAGTCTGAATAATTGTTGTAATAAATGATAGGTAGTCATTTATTAAAACTTCTTGTACCTACTCTATTCATTAAAATGTGTAACTGTGTTTACAAATTTGTTTTATTTTGATATGTCCTCGACCAATTATCTACGCCCATCAAGGATACTCCACCTAATAAAGAACCTGTGTCTTTAACTATTATTGTTTTGATTTTATTTAATTACACACTATACTAGAATATTTAAAAACAAACTGTTCCCAAATGATATTAGGGTTACTGGTTCAGTCACTTCACTAGTATTGTCAATTCGTCATGTGTCAAATCGGTAATAACTCAGCGGCCGGACTATAGTGCGTACTAAAAGTAAGTAGTATCAATTTCTTTGTAAATCCAAGATGGCGGCTGAATACGGTACCAATTTTTTCATCATGGGTCATAGTTTTCGAGGGTGTTGAAGCTGATAGTGCTGTCGAAATGTAAATCCAAGATGGCGGCTGAATACGGTACCAATTTTTTCGTCATGGGTCATAGTTTTCGAGGGTGTTGAAGCTGATAGTGCTTTCGAAATGTAAATCCAAGATGGCGGCTGAATACGGTACCAATTTTTTCATCATGGGTCATAGTTTTCGAGGGTGTTGAAGCTGATAGTGCTGTCAAAATGTAAATCCAAGGTGGCGGCTGCAATGGGTATCAATTTTTTCATCATGGGTGTCTTTTCATAGGTTTCGAGGGTGTTGAAGCCGATAGTGCTGTCGAAATGTAATTCTAAGATGGCGGCTGCAATATATATCAATTTTGTCATTATGGGTGTCATTTTCATGGGTTTCGAGGGTGCTGAAGCCGATAGTGCTATCGAAATGTAAATCCAAGATGGCGGCTGAAGTAGGTACCAATTTTTTCATCATGGGTGTCATTTTCATGGTTCTCGTGGGTGTTGAAGCCGATAGTGCTGTCGAAATGTATTTAAACTACTTTAATAAATTCCGTATAACCATGTTATAGGGAATTTTTTTAATGCGCTTAAGGTATGCCCAATTGGATTTACCAATATATTTCGATTATTTCTGGCGTGGTAGCCTTAATCGGCCGTCCAGGTCGGGGATCGTCTTCAATGGAGTCCCTCCCTTGTTTGAAAAAGGCGTGCCATTTATAAATGATTGTTTTCCAAGGAGCGGAGTCCCCATAGACAGCTGACATCTCTTGAAAAATGGTTTGAGGTGTCTTTCCTTGTTTTCTCCATAGTGGTTAGTTTCTTCCCGATTGACTTGTTTACTCGTTGATAACTCAAAACCTAATGACCCGATTAGGCTGAAACTTGGTAAATATACTAACAATGAGTCACTCAACTAGCGCCTACTTGGATGAATAAACTCACCCTCGCCAAACCTCCGCTCGTATGTTGCTTTTAGATGGAAGTGTTATTCGCAATAACACTTCCAACAACGGGATAATGTAATCATAGTAAAACTTGCCATAGTTAAAATATGAAAGCAATATGGGGTAATCAATAACGATTATGATATTTTGGTGTAATTGTGAACAAATCAATAAATTTCATTAAAATGTCAGGGGGAAATGGTAAACAATAATATCATATAAAAGTTTGAATCTCTAATCTCTAATTTTTTAATAATTTTTTTTTTCAAATTTTAAATTTCATATAATTTTTGTTTTTTTACAACTGTCCTATTATCCTATTTTTCTCGCATCTTCGAGCATTTAATTTAGACTTAGATTTATTTCCCTCTGCTTCTTTTAACCGGCGTAGTTCTTCATTGCTAGTCAAAGCTCCTCCAAAAGCACTAGGCTTCAGTCTCGACACCACAGCTTTTTACATTTCTGTGGACTCGGTAAGTATACCAAATATTTTTCTAAAGTTCCTTTACTTGGACATTTCATTTTATTTTTATTAGTCATACTACTGCAAGATGAAATAACAGTTACAGCATTTAATATATTTGTCTTTCCAAGAGAATTTTCATAGTAGAATTTTTGATACACCAACACCCATTCTATCTAGACTTACTGTTAATATGTCTGACTTTTAATCTGTGAAATATGGCAACAGAGGAGTTCCTGTAGAATACTATAGCCAATAAGCTAGCCTCCAGGTATGTTGGCCTTTTAGTTTTACATCTTCGGCAGACCTTTGAATATCTGTTAACGACTATGATGCAATTTCTTTCTTCTTCGTTATAATTTCTAGGCATGATGTGTAACTAAAAGAACTTTTCAATTACTCATCACCAATACAGAGTTAGTTACATTATTTTGAATTAACCTGATATTTTCATTTACCCCAAATGATGTTGAAATTTACCCCATTAGATGGTATCACTGGGATAAATGTATAAACATGCAAATTCCTACAAAAATATGAAACATAACCTTTAAAATACATGCACAATTATTACTCGTGATCCTTATCATTCCTATAAAACAATCGGTAATGCGTATTTACTTCATTTTTCCACACCAGAAGGTCAAATAATATCTACCTACGGAACTGTTTTTCTAAGAAAAAATATAACTAAATGCGGTTCCACGTTATCCAGTTTTTCATTGAAGTAACATCTGTCATTTAAATGGTGGACTTGATGTCCATGGGCAAACATTTACGTTTTGTTCTATGCACAACTACGAAACACGGTAATGAAAGGATTTCTAAAGCTTGTTTCCAATCACCCATGTTTACAATTACCCTGGCTGACCCTAGTAAAGATGTGAATCACACTTACCAATGGCTATAGCAATCTCAGCAACAAACACTTTCACAAGCTCCTCAGGCAATATCTTGTATTTATCCAATACAGCTAACAATTCACCACCGGCAATGTATTCTGAAACTGAACAAAAATAGAATTAACATACAATATTTTATGCACAACAACTGAAATCTAAGTATACTTGACACCACTTGATAATGACCTTTAAATTAAGTAATTAAGGAACTCGATTGTTACCAAGTAGTCTAATGACACATTTAAATCAAGACTGACCTCGTTTTTATGTAAACACATATAAATTAGTCTGGCGATAGTGTGCAGTATTATACTGATAATGCGCGCAATATACGATAATCGTGCGGGGCAACCACCTTTTATTAGTAGGTCACTTCTTATCAGTATTTAATCATTAATATCACGATAATATTATAAATTTGGTTGTGTTATGGCGTCGTAGGATAACGGCAACTTCCTTTCTCCGTGTGTACTGAGGGAACCTATAAGTTATCTGTCCGATAGAATTAAGGACAAGGAGTAATTGTCCCAAATCAGAGTTACACATTCAAAGTAGTGAAGTTGACTAAGGTCTACGACGCAGGACGTCTGGGATTACGATCGCCACTCCATTTGCATGATTTGTAGATAACAGCTGATTTTCCCAACTTAAAGATGTTTTAATGTAATTATATCGATACACAAGTGTTATTTATTTACAAAATATCACTTGGCTGCGATAAGTATATGAAGGTCTCTTATTATTTCTTAATAATTAATAGTTTAACGTAGTGTCGTAGGAAGATTAATAGATATTTGCGAAAAGACAGCAACTCCTTTTTCTCACCAACTGCGCTAATATAACGGACATCAATGAAAGACAATTAATTTTTTTCTTAAATAAATAGGCATATTAATATCGGATGGTATCTGAAGAGCGTACACGCAACTGCAAGTCGGGGTACTTGGGCATTCATATACAATACTTTTGCGAACTTATATTTCATTCAGCTAATTTTATATCACGAACTTATTTCAATGTTTTTCGACTTTATCTCAACTACTCACCGGCTACAGCAAAAATAATATCGTACAACGTTCGCGACTTCCTGGTATTATAGACAAGCTCGTTGCTTTTGACTTTAAGATATCTTTTCTTAATTAAACAACAATGTGATTTAAAGAACTTTAATACATAGTAATATTAGGGTGAACGTTTGTGTGAGTTTTTTATTGTTTAAAAAACGTTACTAGACCACTAGAATTTTCACCTGAGTCGTGGAGGAATATAATATAATAGAATAAGTTTATTCAATATAGACAAGTAATTCTTATTGAGTCGTTTTTGGGACGAAGTTCCTTATGACTTCAGACGGTAAGGGTTTGGCGGGCTAGGTGACAAAAAGTGTAAAATTTTTTTCGTCACGACCCTTTATGTCATAGTGTAGACAGCCTTGGCGGCGAAATAAGGAAGTGAGATGGAATAATATCCATCTCCCTCGCACTTTTTCTTACCTTGCCATGAAAGAAATATTATTTTATTTCAAATGACGCTTCATTTTAATATACGCTAGTAATTCATTTATTTGTATTTGTTAATCAATAATATAATACCTACGTTTATCAATAATAATATACTACGCAAGAAACTTCGTTTCAACCGAGTGTTCCACGACACTCATGTATTTTTTTTTATTTGTCTATATGGTTTGGAAAAAGGATTTCCAGGAAAGAACCAGCAAGAAACCTAGTGGGACTTTTTTTCAACGTAACATTTTACAATAAAAAGCAGGTACAGTACAAACCCCATTACCAGGAGTTATTATTAACCATGTACTCATTTATATTATAATAACCCTTTTTATACAGTTTTTGTTTATATATACCTTGTATATTTGCTGGGACTTTGTTGTAATATCGTATACATTGCCCTATGAATGAATTAGCGACTCTGTGGAGTAGAGAAACTAGTATCACCTTGTGTTTGTTCCTGGTGTTTACATAATGTACATCACTTTTATTAAAACCACTTTTGTTTTTGTGGGCATACATTTACTGAGAGGCCAAAGTCAAAATATTTCATTTTTTCTCTGGGCCTAGCTTGGTTTTAGATTGTAAATAGCTCTTACGGCCCTCTTCTGCAAAACAAAAATAATTTTGAAATCAGACACATTTCCCCAAAGCAAAATCCCATAACGCATAACTGAAATAAAGTAACCGCTGTCTCGAGACTAGTGAGACTTCTTATCTTTTTACAGTTTAAGCTGCAGAGCACCATGCTGACAGCCTGCTACTTAAGAATTATGGCCTTTTAACATATGCTTTGCGTCGAGAGTAATGCCAAGAAAAACAGTGTGATCGACAGGGCTCAGTTCTTTTCCATATAAAAACACATTGGTATTCAGATTTTTGACATTTGGTGTTGTTAATTTTAAAATATTTAGTTTTATTGCCGTTTAAATGTAGATTTTTTTATAGGAGAGGGGGCAAACGAGCTTGCGGCTCACCTGATGGTAAGTAACTACCGCCGCCTATGAACAACTGCCACACCAGGGGAATCGCAGATGCGTTGCCGGCCTTTTAAAAAAGAGTAGGCTCTTTTCTTGAAGGTCCCTAAGTCGTATCGGTCCGGAAAAATAGCTGGTGGTAATCGATTCCACAAGGAAGTTGTGCGAGAGAGATAACTTCTTCTAAATCGCACAGTGGTGGACCGCCAATCATCTAGATGGTATGGATGGTATCGCGAGTTTAGTCGTGATGTAAACTTACTTAAAACTTAGGGCCCTCTTCTGCACAATAAAAATAATTTCAAAGCAAAATCCCATAACACATAACTGAAATAAAGTAACCGCTGTCTCGAGACTAGTGAGACTTCTTATCTTTTTACAGTTTAAGCTGCAGAGCACCATGCTGACAGCCTGCTACTTAAGAATTATAGCTTTTTAACATATGCTTTGCGTCGAGAGTAATGCCAAGAAAAACATTGTGATCGACAGGGCTCAGTTCTTTTCCATATAAAAACACATTGGTATTCAGATTTTTGACATTTGGTGTTGTTAATTTTAAAATATTTAGTTTTATTGTCGTTTAAATGTTTTTTTTTTATAGGAGAGGGGGCAAACGAGCATGCGGCTCACCTGATGGTAAGTGACTACCGCCGCCCATGAACAACTGCAACACCAGGGGAATCGCAGATGCGTTGCCGGCCTTTTAAAAAGGAGTACGCTCTTTTCTTGAAGGTCCCTAAGTCGTATCGGTCCGGAAAAATCGCTGATGGTAATCGATTCCACAAGGAGGTCGTGCGAGGAAGAAAACATCTTCTAAAAGAAATTGTATAAGGCGAGTGTGAATGAAAGTGTTGGAAGTTGTAGACCTAGGCGGACGTTTCTAGACCAAATCAGGGACGCCTTGAAAAAAGGCCAGGTCAAGAGTACCCTAAACCGAAGAGCATGTGAAAGTGGACGAAGCGAAACAAGTATGTAAGGATCGTAGCAAGTGGAAAGAAGTGGTCTCTGCCTACCTCTACGGGAAAGAGGCGTGATTATATTTTTTTATAGGATAGGGGGCAAACGAACATGCGGCTCACCTGATGGTAAGTGACTACCACCGCCCATGAACAACCGCAACACCAGGGGAATTACAGATGCGTGGCCGGCATTTTAAAAAGGAGAGGGTTCTTTTCCTGCAGATCCCTAAGTCGTATCGGTCCGGAAAAATCGCTGGTAGTTAACTATTCCACAAGGAAGTTGTGCGAGGAAGAAAACATCTTCTAAATCACACAGTGGTGGACCGCCAATCATCTAGATGGTGTGGATGGTATCGGGAGTTCTGCCGCGATGTGCGTTCGTGAAATTTGGCGGCTGGGATTAATCCGAACAATTCCTCAGAGCACTCCCCATGGTAGATGCGAAAGAAAATGCAAAGGGATGCAACATCTCTTCGCAGTGCCAATGAATCGAGCCGATCGGAAAGGATCGGTCGTCGACAATTCGAGCCGCTCTGCGTTGGATGCGGTCAAGTGGAAGGAGCTGGCACTGGGGAGCCCCTGCCCAGAGATGGGAACAGTATTCCATGTGAGGCCGAACTTGCGCCTTGTAAAGAGTAGCAGGCGGTGTGCCGGCATGAAATACTGTCCCGCTCTGCTGAGCACGCCAAGCTTTTTAGAGGCCAATTTGGCCTTCCCTTCCAAGTGACCACGAAACTGCACGTCACTCGATATGTCGACTCCGAGGATACCGATACTGGCTGAGGCAAGAAGGGGAGTGCCTTGAAACTGAGGAGATACGACAAAGGGGTTCTTTTTAGCGGTAAACGCGCAAACTTGTGTCTTCTGAGGATTAAATTGGACTAGATTTAGTCGCCCCCAATCCGAGACTTTGTTCAGCAAAGACTCGACTTCAGACACAAGTTTGTTCCGGTACTCAGCGACGTTTTCCCGAGAAATATTGGCACGGCCGGTGTATAGAGCATCACCAGTGCTGTCATCCGCATAGCAATGAATGTTACCAGTTAGCAACATATCATTGATATGCAGAAGAAACAGCGTTGGTGATAGCACACAGCCTTGTGGAACACCAGCGTTAATAGGCTTGTAGTCAGAGCATGCACCGTCTACAACGACCTTGATGCTCCGATCTACAAGGAAGCTGGTGATCCAATTGCACAATTTCTCGGGAAGCCCATAGGAAGGGAGCTTCGAAAGAAGCGCTTTGTGCCAAACCCGATCGAAGGCCTTCGCAATGTCCAGACTAACGGCCAACGCCTCCCCCTTGGACTCTACTGCCTCCGCCCATCTATGGGTCAGGTAGACCAGAAGATCACCAGCTGATCGACCCCGACGAAAACCGTATTGGCGGTCACTAATCCGCTGGTGATCCTCAAGGTACCGGATGAGCTGGCAGTTAATAATGGATTCCATTATTTTGGAGAACAAGGAGGTGATCGCGATAGGCCTATAGTTGGATGGGTCTGAGCGGTCGCCTTTTTTAGGGATCGGGTGGACAAAAGCTGTCTTCCATGAATTCGGGACTACGCCTTGAGAGTAGGAGTACCGGAAAAGACGCGTTAGACCGGTGCCAACTCCGGAGCACACGTCCTCAGCACAATTGGGGGGATTCCGTCAGGCC